AATTTCTTGGTACCTCATCTAAATCAGTATCTTGACTGGAATTCTTTTAAGTTTTCTCTAGGCTTAGCTACTATTGCATTACAATACACATTTTAAACCCGTGTGGAGGTACACAGATGTGTACATTATAGTTAGAAGGTGCTGAAGTATTTGTTTTTATAAACAGAGTGCATGAAGAATTCTTCATGCAGCAAGGTCTCAGCCAGCTAAATTAACACAAACACTTACTTTGCCATTTGAATGTTCTGATTTTTAAAAGTCTTTCCAGCTGACGTAACACTGAATTAAGAAATGTGTGACATTAGGAGCTCAAAATATTACACTGGATGTAATCATAACTGAGAGCAAAGTTACGTTAGATTAGAAATAGAGCTGATTTGAGGCTTGCTCCAGAGAAATGCAGAACATTCTAGCACTAACAGTGGAAGTGCTTCAGTCGCCTCAAGCCTCTGTATGGCAAGTCAGTGTTTTGGTAGCAAAGCACACGCAGCATCATACTTACCGCGGTGCCGGCTGCTGCGGGGCCAGGGCTGCCGCCACCCTCTTCACCAACCACCTGGTTTTGTTCTTCAGGGCCACGGGTGACAAGAATTCTGAAGTGCTGCTGCCTTGTGTTTTGATCTGGTCTGATTTTAAACAAGCATCCCTGCCCTTGAGGAATCCGTTCCACTGAATTGCTTCTAGATATTTCTGACCCGTTCCTGCCGTTTCCGTGCGGTTCTGAACTCAATCCATCATCCATGGGGCCAATCTCTTCCGCTGGTGGCTGGACGGGGTAGGACGTACTCCTTTCTAGTCGTATCCGAGGATACCTGACCAATCGGTCCCCTTTTGTTCCAGTAAAGCCAAAGTTATACTCGCCTCCTGCACCCGCACCACTTGCCTGCGGCTGCTGTAACTGGAGCACAAAGAACTTTTTCCCTGAATTTGCTGACATATCTGGCACATGTTGCAAAGACCAACGCCGGGGTTCAGGGGTGGGAGCGTTATTCTGCGCCTCGGTACCAAAGGGCAGTAGGGTAACCTGAGGCACATCCGCACTTGAAGCCCGATGCTGAATCCTCACACCACACATGTTTAAACCTGAAGCTGCTTCATTTGCCTTATCTTCTTGGTTAGTTGATGGAGCATCCTCACTCTGGTTATTAGAAGGAATAGCACAAAATATTCTGTGATTACAGGAAACAGTTCCATTGATCTGTTGCCCTAACTCTTCTGTCAGCCTGGGTGGAGAATTTCCAGGAGCCACCTCTGGACTGCTTGGAGGAGAAGAATGGTTTTCAACAGGGGATGCGTAACGCTCCCTGGAGTCTGAGAATTTACAGGGAAGCGTCTCCTCGGGAGACTCCTGGGCTGCACACTCGTCCGCGCAGCCGTTCGCAGCTTTGCGCTGGAGAGAGATCTGCATGGAGGAGCTTCTCGTTGGACGCACATCGATGCTGTTCAGCAGCTGGGGGATAAACATGGATGTGCTCCTCTTTAAGGAGCCCTCTTCTTGCAAATCGCCGCCACCACCCAAATCTGCTCCGTGTCGGGAGAAAGCGTGAGGACTGTTTCTTCTTGGCAAAGTGTGGAATGCCATGAAAAAGTCATCTTCTCTCTCCCGGTCGAGGATCTCTGATTCGGGGGCTGTGTTGCTTCGCCCAGAGCCAAAATGAAACCGCAGCCGATGGGCCATGGTTTTACAGAGAGGAGAAAAGGAGAGGGAGAACAGCAACAATTCAGGCACTGCCAGAAGTTAAAAACCAAAGACATAAACTCCAAGAAAAAGTGTCCCATCTGCCAAACTGTTAGCACTGCAGCCCTGATAGCGACAGATAGCAGAAATAGCCCAAGTGGCAAGCAGCATTCCAGGCATGATTGGGTAAGAGCAATCAGCGCTCCTACACACGGTGACATAGGGTAGGATGGTGGGAGTCACGTGGCCCGGTTCCCCCTCTCCAATGTAAGCTAGTGGGGGTTTTGTTGGTTTTTGGTTGTTTTTTTTTTTTTTTAATGCCAGCAAGAGCCTGAAACAGCACCTTCACAGCTGCTCCTTTTCCATCAGAGAGGAGCGGCCCCAGCGGGAGAGCTCTCACAGCTGACTCAGGCAGCGAGCACACTCGGCACCGCTATAAATCTCAACCGCATCGTATTCACAGGCACATTTGTACAAAGCACGCGCACAAAAATTTAACTACAACAAAACCATTTCGGTTTAGTATTAAAAGTTTAAGTCAACTCCACATGCAAATGAGAAAAATTACTTCAAGCTTTACATTTTGGTGTATGTTACAGCATTAGGCTATCATGGCAGAACATGAATAAATATAGCACGGTTATGCTTTCAATTTTAACTGTGCTCTTAACGTGATTAAGCAACAAACATCTTGCCTTTAAAAAGCCACAACTGTTACATTGTCCCCACAAATGCGATATAACCTAAGTACCCTGCACGGTCCCTTTTAATAATTAAAAGCTACAAGAAACAAAGCAATCATACATATGGCAAAGATTTCTCACGCAATAAAACCAGCAGAAATGTGCAAGATGGCAGGAGACAAAGTTTCCTTTTCAGTTTTACCAGGCAGTAACGACGAGGGAAAACCAGAGATGGGCGTTGCAAGTCGTTTTGTACCAATTTGTCTTAAAACACCGTACAGAAACTCTGCCCATTGCTGGCCAGCCTCCAGTGAGAAAGTTAGCAATATTACCACGAGTGTGATTGCCAGCACGGAATACAGTTACGCTCTCCAAGAGCCAAAAGAACTCAGAAGAACAGACAGAAAGGATACACCAAAACGTAAAACACCCACCCTAAATAAGCTCTGCTAGAACACAGAAACTCAGTGCTCCGAGGATACTCACATTTGAAGTGTGCTCGCAATAGCACATGTAGCACACAGGAGAAAAGAAACCCTGTTTAAGCAAGAAGGGTAGCTTCATTTCAACACACGGACATTTGCTCCCTAGGAGAACTTGGAAGTGTAGGTTTTGTCAACAGCTCTGAAAATTTGTAGGTGGAGGGTCAGTACTCTATCCAGACATTTAAACCTCTGTTTGCAAGCAGCTTGTTTTCAAAAGACAGAAAATGACCAATCACAAGAGAAATGGAAGCTTAAAACGACAAAAGTGCCAACAGACAGCACAATTGCCTATTGTTTTGAGTGGACTATGAGTCAACAAGAAGAAAAACACGAACAGCTTCTACACAGCAACAGTACTGTAGATTGCCTTAGGGAAGCACAGGTGCTGATATTATTTTATCTTATTTTTCAGATAAAACATATTATCCAAGGACACAGTCTCCCTTTGCACCAAAGATGAAGCTTGTATTGTATAGTCTCTATTTTGATTGGGGGGTAGAAAGGAAAGGGTGTACTGCAAAGACAGAAGGTGCTCTGATGATTTGGGAACACGAAGAAGAAACAAAGTTCTTGTGATAAAAATCATGGAAGTATTGATAATTAGTACTTCAGGGTACAGCCAAAATAATCTGTTCGATGTCTCCTCGTCCGTAAGCACAACCTGATGGAAACGTGTGGCTCAAAACCCCCATTATTTGCTATGTCAGTGGCTCAGAACACCTTCTCAAAGGAGAGCCACAGCTCCTAAACGCCGGGGTGCTGCCCTTGCAGGTTATGAGCCCAAGGGCAGACTGTCTACAGAAGTCAGACCACAGAAAGAACCACCAGAAAACGGTTCAACAACAAAGCAGCACTGAAACTGTTGGTGTAAGGCCAGTACTGCACACAGAAACTTCAAAATCTGAAGCAATATACCCAAAATGAGCATGCCAAACCTGGCATTTCTCAGCTGTTGCGTACAGATTTTTTTTCCCCCCAAACTGCCGCCCTGTTCCCATCGCCCAGGGACGTCACCACACACACCCCTGCAGTCCGCAGGCCCGAGCAAGGGCTCTTCCCCAGCCCCGTCCCTGCTCCGCCAGCGAGGTGCGCCCGACCGGCCCCAGGACAGGCACGGCAGCGTGGCACGGCCAGGGCAGCTGGCAAGGGGACCTTAAACCTGGGCAGAACTGACTGACCAGCTCCTTGAAGTTCAAAAGGTATGGGACAGTTTTAGTCGTGCAGGCGGTCATTATGATCATTGTATCTCAATAAATATATTCACAGCCAGCCCACTCTGAATACACCCTGTCACAGATTTGCTTCCTCCTAAAGGGAGACAGAATCATTTGGCTCTAAGTCCTCTTTCTCCCCAGATTACAGCCGGTATGTTTCTCTTTGCTCTATATTTAATAGGACAGAGGAAAAGAAGGTATTTGTGAAGACAGATGCTTCCATACCGTGTGGTTATTTTAATAAAAGGATCTTCACAACACTGATCCTAATCACAAAGCACCTGAGTTTAGCAGAGGTTGCACTGCACCCAACCAAGAAAGCGTTAATACCCGACCTCACGAATAAAGAGATGGCGTTACAATTTCCAACAGACAAACCCCCAGAGAGTCATTCACCCAGCGCGCCACTGCGTTGGCAAACTTAACCGAGCTCTGGGGATGTCTGTGTGCACACCTTAGCTTCTTAATCACAACAAGAGCAAGAACCAGTAAGATGTTGGAAGACTCCTCTGAAGAGCTACTGCATCAGACAAATTAAATTCAAGACTAAAACCACTAAAAATATGCTGGACATTATGAGGCAGAGAACTGAAAACATAACAGAGTGCCTTATTTTGCCATTACCTTAAACCTTCATACACACGTGTCTTGAGAACAAGGGGCAGCTCTGGTAACCATATCCCAAAAAGGATGCACAAGTATTAAAGGGTACAGGGAAGAGACACTAAAATGATGCAGGAATGGGCAGATGCTTTCCAAGTGACTAAAAAGGTTGGGATGTTATTGGTTTGCAGTGGAGAAGCTTAAGGAAGAATACCAAGGGGTTCTCACCATCAGAATACTGGGTTAAGGAGGACCATTTTGGTCTGACCCAGCAGGGTGGTACTACTGTGTTTAATGCTGACTGTTAGTCCCAAACACAGATGGTTTTTTTGCTCGTATCTGCACTTCTTACCACACCTACTTAAACAACAGGTAAAAATACACCTTTAAGATGTGCTCTATTTTTGTCAGCTGAGTTACACAGCCTGATGATTAGTAAAACCCCATCAAGACAAGCACTCACCAATCTGTTTTCATCAAACACTTCAAACAGGAGACGATGATTAGTTGGGTTGACCTATGAGAAAATGCAAATAATGTCACTTTAAGTTCATTAGCTTGATGATCACAATATATGGGTACTAGTTCATACAGTGATTAAACCAAGGCAAACAGAACAGAACTAACAGGTTTTATGTAAATCTAATTTTACTTAAACTGGAGCACCAGAACACTTTGTTTCTAAACCCTCCTGCAACTAGAAATAGCCTAGCACTTACCATTAAAAGCTCTCATTTACTGCGTTGAGCGCGCCCCGCTTCCCACAGGCAGCTCTGCCGAGGAAGGCTGTGCCCAGCACCAGGAATTCTGAGAGGGCACCCCTGGGCAAGGTGGCCACTTCTCCCTCCCGCCAGCCCCCCCCAGGCCGTGCCGCAGCCCCGGGGCCTTCAGCTGCCCGGCGCACAGCAGCACAGTGAGCCTGCTCTCAGGGAGGGCATCCTGGCCCAAGCAACACGCTCGGTGTTTCGGGAGCAGGGCCCAGGCCGGACGGACTATCAGGGCTCCTAGATAGTTTTTGTTCTACAGCTGCAAAGCTCGACTGAACTGTAGGGAGCAAGAGTTTTACTGCATTTCTGTCAGAATTTCACAATCATCTGTATTTCGGACTGTCCGTTGCTCACCACTGCATGTTTATCACACATGCCTGTGGAAAACCCAACAGAAGTCTCTCCAACACTTGGAAACAGCAAATACACCTCCAGATAATTATTTACACTGCAGTAAATTTAAGCAGAAAGACTGCTGACATTTAAAAGGAAAAAACAAACAACTCTGGCAGGAAGACAAACCACACACTATTAAGCAAGAAAAAAGGTTTTATACTATTTGATCCACTTGATATATTTTTTCAGAAAAACTTGTTACTACATCCAACTTCTTTAATTAAGAAAGCTTAGAAATAATATTCCACAACGGACTAATCATTCCATGGGGGTGGTGATGGACTTCCCAGCTTTGAGAAAATCCTCGAACTGTGACACACCGGAGGGTATGTGTTACTTTGTACATTCACATTATTGGTTAGGATTTTCAAGGTGTTTTAACAGAGTTTCTATGATCTATACTTGTAGTGTAAGCAACACAAATTGTGTCAGTTTTGCGTATTCTCTTTTCCTGAAGCAAGTAAATTATTAGAAAAGCTATCTTGAATAGCATCTGTTAAAATTATAAGCACAAACGTATGTAACAAGCTTGCTTAACCCTAAGTGAATGCATTTAACTTTGAATCACGCAAATTTGTGCTTCACAGCCTGCCTTCCACCTCGGCAGGCTCATAAAGATGGGCTGCGGTCGGGACCAGATCTGGGGGAGCTTGAAATGTCACCAAATAGGTCAAGAGTCTGCAATTTCCCTCCTGTTGCCCTTCCCGGGCAGGGGCAGGGTGGTAACCTCTGGACGTCATTTGTCCTCTGAGCCGATGGCGAACACCTCACCATAAAGCACACTCATTCCAGGGCAATGACTTCCTAGTAAAATGACACTACGAAACACTCTTTTACAGGCAGGTAGTTTACGGTAGCCTGTGGCAGAGCCACCTCTATAATAAACACCAAAAAAAAATGCGATGAAAATAGAAAACCTTAGGCCCAGTCATATTCAGTGTCAAGACAGTTCCGATGTACTCTGCACAACTTTAAAAAGTGTAGGGCCACATTTTCCCCTCCGAGTACATTATAAAAATCAAAATATTTCATTAGATAAAGATGATTTTAGGTAGGTATTGCCCAGCTGCAAAACCTAGAAAAGCTATCTGGTACATGTTTAAAAATAAAAACTCCACTTAAACCTCCAAAACGTGTATTAACAGCGACATTGGCGGGAGCCATCTATCAGAAAGACCCTGCCAGCAAGACACAATTCCTAGGGTTCTATAAACACGTCCAACACGATACCCATTTTTAACAATCTACAATGACATCTTTTCTCAAGCAGCTGTTTAAGATTAAATGTTAAAAACCCACTGAAATTCTGCCTAACCTTCGTTTGTGAAAGCTACAGCTGCAGTAAAATTGTCATTCTTCTTTGGAAAAATATTTTCAGCAGCTAAACAACAAAGTTGTTGTCACCCTTCTCATTTATATTATGTTGGGTTTAAGAATCACTAACCCCTCCTTTACCACTTTCAAATATTTAAAATTGTTCTGATAAAAATTAGTTTTAGCTATAACTTGGTTTTCATTTTAAGCAAGATCTATAATGAAACTACAAAAAGAGTATTTGATCTTTTTAGCAAGTAACAAAGGCCAAAAGAAATTAATTTTTCTATTTTCCTTCTCTACATTTCTATTTCATTATTTTTTGCCACAATAACTTAAATTTCATAGCTCTTGGAAATAACTCTGATTATTTGCCACTTCATTAACATTTTAAAACCAGAGCAAACCTGCTCTGCTAAAAATATATTTTGAAGTAAAATGAATTTTTTGTCAGATGAATTAACTCAAAACTTACTCTAAACAAAGTCTCAAATTGTGAAACAGTCCGTTTCTACTTAACCTTATGCCAATTTCTGCTGATCATTCCCCATCACTATAGAAAGTGAAGAGCAATTATCTCGGGACAAGCATTTTATCATCATAAACATACAAACAAATAAAAAATAAGTTTCTTCCCAAGCTTTTAAAATGCCATGTGATTACTTGTACATGTTGTAATAATGATTGCAAGTAAAGGGAAACTTACTCTAAAATAAAATTCTTCATTCCATTTTGGATTCAGTGTCTGTAAAAGAAATAAACATTTACATCATAAAATTTCTTGAGGTTTGCCATTTTGCAGTCATCAAAATGTGCATGCAAGTAACAATATTCTACAACAAAATGAGAAAAGCAGCATGTGATTAAAAAATAAAAGTGCCAATATTTTTATTTCCATTTTTTAATGACATCAAATTATTTAGAAATTCTCTGAGTAAACCAAACGTGGGAGGATATTTGAGTCAGATGATCCTAAAATAGATGTTAAGTATAAATAGGATTCTAGAAGTAAAAGGCAACTTACTGAAAACCTACTGAAATAAAACCTGAAGACATTTCAGTCTCATGATTCATTTAAACCCAGATTTAAAAAAAAAAAGGTATTTTTTAAACACAAGGACAACTCTAGTGCTACAATAATAATGACAGATCTATACTGTAAATTAAACAGAAAAGTAAAAAAAAAAAAACAAACGAAAGGTTACTTCCTTTGAATAGGGATGATACTTTTCCTAATCTCCCCAAAGCCTGTGGAGGTTTTAATTTTGTTTTAACATCCTGAATACAATATGCATATAGGTTGCAATCTGAAGGGAGGTCAATCATGAAATAATAAGTTGATAAAAAAAAGAGATCAGAACTACAAACAACAATTTGGGCGATTCAGATTGGGTAAGTTTAAAAACAAGTATGAGATGTCCAATGGTTTTGCTTTCCTGCCAAATCATTCCCTCATTCTCCCACATAGCAGAGATTTACCAGAAGAGCTGACAGTAAAAATTGGCTCTACACCCACCAAAACTTTGTTATAGCAGAGCAGGAGAATCTTGGCTGTTTATCTTAAATCCCTGCTATAGCTAAAATGGATTTATCACGTCCAGGACACCGTGGCTCAGCACGGCGCGGTTCTTACGGAATGGAAACGCAGGAGTGGCACTGCAGCTCAGCACCCACCCACGTGATCCTGCCCTGCTGACAGCTGTACATCCTCCTGCCCGCTTTACACCGGGGCCAAATCTCAACCCAACGTACAGGGGACTATGAAATCTGAAAACCCTGTTCTAGAAAAATCT